TTTATTTGAGACAGAGAGAATGAGAAAGAGAGAGCACATGGGAGGGGGGAGGGTCAGAGGGAGAAGCAGACTCCCCGCTGAGCAGGGAGCCTGATGTGGGACTCGATCCCGGGACTCCAGGATCATGACCTGAGCCGAAGGCAGTCGCTCAACCAACTGAGCCACCCAGGCACCCAAATAAATAAAATCTTTAAAAAAAAAATAAATAAAATAAGAAACCTTTCGGAATCCCCAAGAATCAGGTTTGTGTCTGTCATTTACAGACTGCATCTTAATTCGAGAGGAAAAGAAGAACCGGATCCTGCCCCTGAGCCACCCAGTAGCAGCGCTGCCTCCCCACCAGTACTCACGCCTTGACATCTGCTGTCTCCTGGGACGTGCGTGTGAGAGTACGGGAACGCAGGCGCTCGCCCGCCTGCTGGATCTCCTGCAGGTTCCGTTCCACATGGGGAAGCTCTGAGATGCCCTCAGTCTCAGCAGCAAGCTGTTCAGCTTGCTGAAGGAGCTCACCAAACCCCTCAGTATCCATTGGAGTTGCAGATCCTAGCTGGGGGAGGAAAAGAAGAGACCTAAATCAAGGGGAGGACAGGCTTCGAACGCTGTCCGAGTCTGTTATAAGCTAAACGGAACACGAGGACTTTTTGTAAACAGACAAGGAGACAGCTCACCAACAAGCAGGATTTGTTCCTGAACAGAGCCCAAGAACAGGCCTGACAGAGAAAATGAGTCAGACTGTGAAGAAATAGATCATTTCTGTGCATATTGACAACCCCAAGATTGATTCCTGCCACCAGAACAAATGCAAAGATATTAAGCTACAGACCAGAATTCCTGCCTCCTTCCACAGACTCAAAGCTGACAAGGAATGGAAACCACGGTGGCAACCGCTGGGAGGCTAAAACAACAACCACCCTGCACCTCTTATTCCTCCACCTTTCTTAGAAAAACCCCACCATCCAGAGAGGGTGGGGCAATTTATAAGGTCCTAATCTCACATGATTCTTAACAACTCTACTGAGGCTCCTGAGTGGACAGGAGAAGCAACTCCAGTCCACAGAGCTGTCAGGTGCCCAGGGTATTCTCGCAGGCAATGTGGCTGGACGGACACAGGTACACAGGTCTCCTGACTAATCCCGTCTTATTCTCACACATCTGCTCCTTCACTAACATAAAAGACAGGCTTTTAAAATTCACGTTCAAGGGGCACCTGGGTGGCTCAGTCGTTAGGCATCTGCCTTCGGCTCGGGTCGTGATCCCGGGGTCCTGGGATCGAGCCCCGCCATCGGGCTCCCTGCTTAGCAAGAAGCCTGCTTCTCCCTCTCCCACTCCCCCTGCTTGTGTTCCCTCTCTCGCTGTGTCTCTCTCGCTGTCAAATAAATAAATAAAATCTTAAAAGAATAACAAATAAATAAACAAAATTAATTTTCAAGTCTCCATTCACACATTCTTTAGTTTACAAGGTTACTGAGAGCAGAGAGCTGCTGGTTATAGATGACATTCAGGACATGAGACTTTAATTGTTCCTACACCTACTACTTTTAGAAATGCCATTGCTGGGGCACCTGGGTGGCTCAGTCAGGAAGTGTCCAACTCTTGATTTTGGCTCACGGCACGATCTCAGGGTCGTGAGATCGAGCCCCTCGTCTGGCTCCATGGTGGGCATGGAGCCTACTTAAGATTCTCTCCCCCTCCCCCGCTGCCCCTCCCCCACCCCTCTCTAAAAAAAAGAAAGAAAAATAAATGCCATTGCTACTAATAATTATATTAATAAAAATAGCAGCTGGCTTCTAGACCATAAATATTAACAAGACCACCTGTTTCTCCAACAGTTGAATGAGTAAAGTCCTAAGAACAGTGTTGCTATTTGAAGGACATTACATATTTATGAATCTTATATACACTGTATCATCCTTGTATAAGATTCTTGACCAAGAGAATGTTTTTAACTCTACCACTACTTAAATCAACAGAACATAAACAGTATCACCATCATTAAAAAAAAAACTGACATTGTTAAAAGGTTAGCAAAATTATTTATGAAAAAACTAAAATCCTTTAAATAGTAGCTCTTGTTGGATTATACTTTTCTTCTTTGTTTTAAACCCATGCCTTCTACTGCACCTTTGAAATACCACTGGTCTACAATGGTAGTTAAGATGGTGATATAATATATAATTATATCTCAGCTATAAAGCACAGATTATTGTTAAAAGGGTATGGTTATCAACATAAATCCACAGCAGGAGAATGAGGACTTTTTCAAATGGACATTAAAAGACATTAACTTTAAAGGTAAAGGCATAAGGTTAAAACAAAAATAGCTCAGCTGGGTAAACATAAAAACACTTGGGTATTCTTTAATCTTTATAGACAAAAAGTCACATACCCACTAACTCTCTTCCTAAAGTTTCTACATAATCATTGTTTTGTTTTGTTTTGACCCAGTAGAATGAGGCTGTAACTGGCCATCTTTACCTGTGGGAAAATGGGGATGGCAAAACAAGGAACACATTCTCCCAAACAGAAGAAAGCAAAGAGTATTTTTTTTTTTTTAAAGATTTTATTTATTTATTTGACAGAGAGAGAGACAGCGAGAGCAGGAACACAAGCCGGGGGAGTGGGGGAGGGAGAAGCAGGCTTCCCGCCGAGCAGGGAGCCCGATGCGGGACTCGATCCCAGGACCCCGGGATCATGACCTGAGCCGAAGGCAGACGCCTAACGACTGAGCCACCCAGGCGCCCAGCAATGAGTATTTTTAAACAACAGTTCCTGTCTGATAGAGAAATGCTTTTCCTCCGAAACCAACAGGGCCAATAACATTCTACTAACAGAAACACGGTCACTCACCAGAAAGGGGAAAGAAAAGTAATATGCTGCCTCTTCCCCCTACCCCTTTTTACTCTAAGATAAAAATAATTTGTCTAACAGAGCCAAAAGACAAAAAAATACTGTTTTTCTTTCATAAGGAAAATTTTAGAACTCCCCGAATAAAGAACTGAATGAAACAAACTTTTCTAAGTTTAAAAAAGAAAGAAAAAACAGGAAAAAGAAATACATCTAACATTTTGCATCCATGCCAGATAAATTCAGACAAAGGAAATGCTCAACTTCTCAAATGACCTGCCCATACAAAGACTTACAGAGTGATGGAGTGGAATATAAATAATAAATGCAAAATAAAAGTCATGATTTACTTTAATACGGTCCAGTAAGTAAGATTTTTTAAAAAGATTTATTTATTTAGACAGAGAGAGAGAGCACGAGCAGGGGGAGGGGGGCAGAGGGAGAAGCAGGCTCCTGCTAAGCAGGGAGCCCACCGTGGGGCCTCAATCCCAGGACCCTGGGATCATGACCTGAGCAGAAGGCAGACGATTAACCGATTAACTGACTGAGCCATCAATCCCTGGGCTCTAATCTTTGTCAACAAAACCTGCTCCGCGGTCTTCTCAGTGTGGAGCTGCCACTACTCAGCTGCTTGGGCCAAAATCCTTGAAAGCCTCCACAACTCATCCAAGACCAACAACGCCTTTCAAATCTACCTGCAAAATGCACCCAGAATCTACTTCTTCCCACCACCTCCACCCACTCAAGTCACTATCACCTCTTCCCTGGCCTCCCTGCTTCAGCCATTGCCTCCTATAGTCTATGTGATCCCTTCAAAGGATCCTTCCTCTGCTTAAACCTCTTGTACAGAGTGAAGCCCTCAAGAGCAGACTTACCTCCTCTTACTTCCCAGACTCATCTCCAGCCCTGTCTCCTTTTCCTTTCCTGGGCTCCAGTCACCCTGGAGCCTCCATGCCAGTCCCCCAATGGGTCAGGCACATTCCTGCCCTAGAGCCTTTGTACGCCTTGTTTCCTCTATCTGGAATGCTCCTCTCCCAGATACGCTCCTGATTCCCTGTCTCTGTTTTTGATGCCAACCTAGAAAAAAATATTTAAGAGTGCAATCTGCAACCACCCCTAGTACCCCTCATCTCCCTTACTGTCTGTCATCCCTGCTAGAATGCCAGCTGCACAGGACAGGGCTTTTGTGTGTGTTTTTTGTTCACTGATGTATCCCAAGCTTCTAGAACAGCACCTAGCACACAGTAGGTGCTCATTTGTTGAATGAATAGGAGTTTTATTCTTCCATTTGTGGAGAGTCTGTTCTTCTTGAAGGCTTCCTGCACTCTGCTGCCAAATCAGCACCCACGGGCAAGCGAAGACCAGAGCAAAAACATTCCCTTCCGACTACCAACTGATACTTAACATTTCTGAGGCGGCACAGCATAAGGCAATGACCATATAAATGGCATGAATTCAGATCGCACTTGGTCCAGACTAGTACTTTCCCTCTAAATACCCAGACGAAAACCAATGGTATTTTAGAGGAAAATAAACAAACAAACCCGTTTTCAGGTGAACAGAATTGCAAACCAAAAGAATATACGTATAGAAAGAATTTCATTATACAACTTCAGAGTAGAAAATAAGCTTGTTCCATGTCTGTCTGAGAGAAAAGAGCTATATATTTAATACAATACTTGGGAAAAACTGTATCTGTCCTGCATTATAACTCACCCAGTGGATATTAATTTATAAAAAAGTTATTAAAGTTTCCGAATCTATACTCTGATGCAGTCATCATCCCGTTTCATTAAAATTTTTAAATTATGATTAATTTCATAAATATAAGGACAATTTTTACCCCCTCCACAAAATAAATACTAATTTAGCCATAAAATATATGGGTTAAACCAACCAAATACCAGTTTTGACTCAAGATACTAAAAGCTGATCATGAAAATAACTTCACTAGCTTTGTCCAAGAGAGAACTTGGGAGTGGGGGGAATGAAGTCTAAGCCTTGTGTGGGAAAATCTGGCCAGGACACATGCAGAGACTGGACGCCAGCTGTACCCTTGACGAGCTATGGAGGAGGAAGCCAGGAAGAAGCCGCATGGAGGACCCAAGCAAGGAAGCCGAATTTGAAACAGTCAGTGCAGCAATATTGGGGCTAGAAGGGAAAGGGCTAGCACTAGGGCTCCTCTGCCATCAATGACTAAGCCTGACCAAAGAGGCCTTTGGAAACACTGAGAGGTGCTTCAGAGAGCATCACAGGGTACCAAGGTCCCGGGCATCAAACCTCTCCCATGCCACTTAGCAGAAGTCCTACTGAGCCTCCCTAGACCTCCTCAAACACCAGAGCAAACAAAAGCTTTAAAATGAAGGGCAAAGGTATCCCTGCTGTTAGAAAGCAAGATTGGTTACTCTTGGGGGAAGAGGGCCAATGTGACAGAAGGGAGAGTTCTGAGAGGCTGGTAATTCTCTGGAGTTTTTTTTTAGCTGAGTGCTGCTTAACAGTGTGCTCACTTTGAGGAAATTCACTGAGCTGGACTCAGGATTTGTGCACTTTTCTGTGTAACATACTTCAATAAAAAAGTTACTCCCAAAATGAAAAATAATAATCCATGGTTTTTCAGAGGCTACAGTAGGACACCCCACGATGTTGGAAATAAGGAATGCTCTTAGAAGTTTCCATAATCGAGATCTCTTCACCATATGTAGA